CATCCCCACAACAGCAGTAAAGAGGATTCTCTCCTTCCTTCCTTCCTCACGTTTGTCCTTCTCTATGTTCATGAGAAAGTTTCGTCTGCCTTTAAACATGGATGTTACCCTGTGACATATTGTCCTGATTCTTCTAGTCGTTCAAAAGCAGCTGAGTACTGACCTTCTGTCACTGCTCTGTGTAGTAAGAATGCAGGCAGTCCCTGGGTTACAAACAAGATGGGTTCTGTAGGTTTGTTCTTGAGTTGAATTTGTATGTAAGTTGGAACAGGTACATTTACCTATATCTGAAACGGCCTCCATTCATAAATGTGAGTTGTACATCAGTCAGATGTTTGTAACTTGGGGACTTACCCTAATGGCCTCCCCTTCATAAGTGCGAGTTGTCCATAAGTTGGGTGTTTGTAACTCAGGGACTGCCTGTACTGCAATGAAGCAAAGGATTCCTGCTGTCATGGGGCCCATATTCTAAAGGGGGAGACGGGAAGTTATTTCAGCAGGTAATCATAGAACTTGTAGGGTGGTGAGTGCTCTGGGGAAAATGAGGCAGGGAAAGGGGATGGGGAAGGGATGTGAGTCTGCATGAGGAAATCAGGAATGTCTCTCCAGAAATAGCTCTTCAGAAAAATATGTAAGTTATTCAAGAAAAGGCTATGCTTATATTGCAAGTATTCTCCCTACAACTGCTCAAATCAGACCCAAAGGGATGATTGTGAAAGTGTATTTGTCAGCTTGGGGAATGGGTAGAAGAATGGAAATGGGGAGGAGCAGACCGGGACCTTCCTAGCAATGGACTGAGTGCTGGAACAGGTGCTCAACAATTGTGTGTAAATCCGATCACAGTCAGGCTTTCAACCTCACGTAAATCGAGTTCACGGAGGAAACCTATCAAGAAGCGTAATTTGGAATGCCTGTGTGATAGATCTCCCCTTCTCTGTGCCCCATCCATCAGATAGTCCTCTGAAGGGAAAAGAAGAACTGATGTTATCTCCAAGGAAAAGAATAGGGCACTTTATAAGAGCAATCCCAACCACATGCAAAGGGAGGGGACATCCGCCCTCCCGCCGTGGGAGAAGAATGTTGTGGTGTTTCCTCCTGGCATGCTGTTCTAAGGTCAAATCTTGGAGCAAGGTGCACTGTGCTGGTAGGTATGGAAGAATCTCGAGCACGAGACTAATAGCAAGTTTCCCCTACTCTGCCTGAGGAAAGCTACATATTCCTGGTTTAAAACCTTGCACGTACAGACACATCCCAGAGCGATAATGCAGAAGTTGAGGAAAGTGGCCAGAATGAAGAGCCCAAGGTAGAATTCTAGGCTTCCCAAGGCCTGTTTAGGGCACCTAGAATTGACTGTCCAATGTGGTATTCACTAGAGACACAGGATACTTAAAATTCAAAGTAATCAAAAGCAAATAAAATTTGAAATTTGATTCCTTAGTTGTCTAGCCACATTTCAAGTGCTCAGTAACTGTGTGCGTGTGTAGCTGATGGCTACTGTATTAGACAGCACAGATACAGAGTTTCCATCACCACAGAACATTCTATTGGGCAGCAGTGGTCAGCAAACTTTTCTGTAAAGGGCTTGATAGTAAATATTTTTGGCTTTATAGACAAAAATGCTCTATCATAATTTTTCAGTGCTATCATTATAGCATGAAAGCAGCCCTAGTCTATACATAAGTGAACAGGCATGGCCACGTTCCAATAAAGCTTTATTTATAGACGTGAGCTTTGGCCCAAGAGCTGTAGTGTGTTCATCCTTGGGAAAGCAGATCCAAGAGGTCCCCCATGCCTCAGTGAAGGGGCAGGAGCCACTGGAGGAAAGGGTGGGCTAGTGGAGGCCTAGGCTAAGGCCAGATTACTCATTTGGGCACTCAAAAGGGATACAGGACCAGGTGTTACTCAGCACACACAGGGTGAGGGCCGGCCTTGGCGCCCTGGGACAGCACTCAAACTCACACACACAGACTCCAGGCCATCCTGAGAAGCAGCAAAATGACCAAGCCCAAATGAGCCAAATGATCTAAAAGAGAGACCGTTTCAATAGAAGAGACAGTGATGCTGTCTGCTGGCAAAGGTAGGTACCCACTACCCCACAGCCGCCACTCTCAACCCCTGAGGGTGGGAGAGCTGCAGAGGCAGTTTAGATCCATTAGAATTTCTTTGCATCTGTGAGTTAACAATGCAAAAAGAAAGTCAATGGTGGGAGGCAATGTTTTCTCCCTTGCACATAAAGACAGTTTAGAAAGGAAACTTTTGCATTCTTTCCAGGAGCTCTGACTTGAGGCATTTCATCTCTGATAGGCTCTGTGGCACCGTGTGATGAGAACATTGGCCTCAAAGGAGAAGACCCAGGCTCCCGCCATGTGTGGCGTACGCTAAACCTCTGAACCACGCTGGGCCGCCGTGATTTCGTCTGCCACATAGGAAGGTGGAGCAAATGACTCCTAACTTCTTATCTAGAGTATTGCCTCTCCAGTGCAGAGATAATACTTTAAGATTCATCTAAAAGACGTCATGCTGGAGTTGAAGCATTTGACTCTAATTATCATAGTGAACCCAATCACATGTCAATAAATTAGTTCTTAGTTTTACTGGTAATTTTCTACTGGTTCACTGAAAAGTCTTGACATTTGATACTTACAGATTGGGGTGCCAACATGGCCAGTTTCTGCTGAGGGTGCTCTTTCTGGCTTGTAGACAACCACCTTCTCACTGCGTTCTCACATGGCAGGGAGAGACAGAGAGAGGGAGCTCTCAGCTATTTCTTCATATGAATGAACAGGCATGACCACCTTCCAATAAAGCTTTATTTACAGAAGTGAGCTTTGGCCCGAGTGGAGCCATAGTAAGCTAATCCTATGATGAGGCCCTACCATCATGACCTCCCAAAGGCCTTATCACCAAACACTATCACTTTGGAAGCCAAGGCTCCAACATAAAAATTACAAGGGAACACAATTCAGTTCAGACCACACACCTTCAAATTACTTTATGCTAAAGTTCTTGAAAATTTCCACTCTGCTCATGGTCAAAACAAAAGGAGATATACTTCTCATCAGTAGGAAAAGTTGAGAAAGACTACCAAGTTGTGTCCCACTTTTTTTTATAAATATATTCGAAGCAGAGGTGGGATGGGAGGCTGACTGTCTCGATTTTCCACTCTCATGATAGCTAACTTTTACTGGGCAGCTCACTGGGTGCCAGGCACTCTTCAAAGTAATTTACACATATCATCTTATTTCACCCTACCACAACCTAAAGTGGTAGCCATTATTATTAAACCTATTGTAAAGATAAAGACACTAATGCTTGGAATGCCTGAGTAACTTGCATAAGGTTGCACAAATAATACGAGACTGAGTCCAGATATGAAACCCAGCAGACTAACTCCAGAGCCTGCCCTTCTAATTACTATGATCTAAAGCCTCTTAGTTTGGACACAAGTTGTGGGGAGAGTCCCTGCACACACACACACACACACACACACACACACACATTACAGATGTGCTTGGACAAAGCAATACATGTTTAATGCATTAATAATATGTGTTAATAAGTATATTAATGCCTATAAGTTATTCACACATTGTGGTGGATTGCTTTAACCAACTAAGTGAAATGTATTATCCTAACATCTTGATTAGATTAAAGTGTCAGGAAATGATGATTGGTGAGGACTAAGAAGATATTTTGAAATGGGGGCCCTTGATGAAGTGGAATTTCAGATAGAAGGCTGAATTAGGAGGATAAATAAGTAGGGATGAGACGAAGGCTTTACTGCCTAATGAAAGGAAGAAGTAGCAAGAAAGTGGAGGCCAGTTTGGAGCAAGAACTGAGGAAAGTGAAGTGTGCCTGCTCCAGGACCCTGTGTGCCTGACACTGTACTAAGGACATTCCAAATGTACTACCTAACCCTCTCCCCAGTAATCTGTACTCTGTATGCAGCCTCCTTGAGACAAAATTGCTTTATCCTTTTGCCCAAGATGGCCAAATTCAGTCACTAAAACCTATCTTGGTGCCAGCCAGGAGCTTCAGATTGGTCATTCTTGGCTATGAAGATGTGTATATGACCTATGTTAAAATGTAACTGCACATGGAACAATACTCAGAGGAAGCTAAAAGTTCTATGGTCCAGTTCAGTGACAGAATGGATGGACAGCCAGTCATCCTAACCATCAAATCAAAGGGCTACATTACTGACGTGCTAATAGGCATTAGTGTTCAACGTGAAGGCAGCTAAGACATCAGATTGGTTACCAGATTAGTCAAGTTTACTAGATGGCTAGAGCCAGGCCTCTAATTCTGTAAGTGCGGAAATCCCTTACCATATGCTTTCCCATCATGCTTGGACTTACTGAAGACATCTATAATCTCACAGACTCTGGAGTCACAAGCAAGTAGGCAGTTATTCTTTGAGAGTGGACAGGGAATGGAACGTGGACGTCTTTCATCAATTATTGAAGAGCTCCTCAAGGACTGATAATCAGTAGCTTAGCTAATAATTGGACCCTTTGCTTTGATACCTGCCTGCTGAGTTTGGGACCCTCTGTGTCTGTCCTCTATATATCCTTGTACCATCTCTCTTCCCTTTAATCACTCTAATCTCCAACCAAGAAATCTTTGCTTGGCCTGGGCAATTTCCTCCCTTATTTTTTTATGTTTTGTGTCTACAGCTTTCTTCTCCCTCTAGGGTTCTTAAGCCATTCACTTCCCTTTCTTTCGCTTTTCATTGCCCAGATCTTGGCTTCTAAAGTCATTCTCCAGTAAAAAGAACCAGGCTCCAGGGAAAAATGACTGATTCTAAGACTGGGTTGTGAAATATACAAGATGAGCCTGGAGCATCTTTATAGTACCACAAAGTAAGGAAGTGCTCAAAAAAGAAATTGATGAATGTCTCAGTCTTCTAATGTGGCCACAACAAAATACCACACACTAGCTGGCTTAAACAACAGAAATTTATTTATTTACATGTTTACTTATTTAGTGAAGTATTTTTAAGAGAGGTAAGGCTTTATTTCCTTGTTTTGCAACTAAATCTGGCTGCGTTTGTTATTTTTGGTGATTAGTCAAAGAGACCAAATCCTATATCCTCATCCAACTCCTCTGGCTCTTCCTTGGCTCAACCTTGGTTGGGGCTGTGGGGCAGCAGGGGCAGCAGTGATGGTGGTGGCCACAGGAGCAGCAGCCACAAAGGCAGATGGGTCAGTTAAGAAGGCCTTGAGCTTTTCAGCAAGTGAGAGGGTGTAATCAGTCTCCACAGACAAAGCCAGGATTCATTTGCACCCACTGATGATAGAATGGGGTTCTGATGCAACAAGTGGCTCACCAGTCTGCAGACAAACATTGGCAACATTGTGGATGCCCTCCAGGGAGGGAGAATGCAGTTTCCTCTGTCACATCCAGCACTTCAGGGTTGTAGATGCTGCCATGGTTGAGCACCTGCTGGCTGGCCAGCCCAAAGGAGCAGGGGGAGATGTTCAGCAGTGTGGCTTTGCTGGCTCCCACTTTGTCTCCAGTTGTAATCAGCTGTACATCACTCAGCATTTCAATGGTGTCCATGGGGATTTTCGTGCCTGTAAGAAGGAGGTCTTCTCTAGCCCCAGATCAGTGTTCTGGGGTGGCACAGTGACTTCCCGGGGGGGAAACAGCATGGTCAGTAGCACATCTCTCATCTCAGTGAGGTCATCCTTGGTGAATCCTAAAGCCGCATTCCCCCAGAGATGAGGCCGTTTCTCCAGAGCTGGGTTGTTTTCCAGATGCCCTCCATGGCCTTGCCCATTGTGGTGCTCTTGCCCACCAACACCACAGCCTGAAAGGGACATGTGGATCTGCTGCATCTGCTCAGGGCCCATGTTGTCTACTCCCACAATAAAGCGTTTTGGATAATCATCCAGAAATTGGATGATCTTAAGGACATAGTTGGACTCCCAGGTTGCCCTGTCTTCCCTGGGCATCATGGCAGTTCATTGGGGATTGCCACACAGGATTTAAAGACCAGGTCACTCATATGAGGACACCTGGCAAGAAAAACAATAACTGAAACGAATTTTCTTACAGTTCAGGAGCCTAGAAGTACAAGATCAAAGTAATGTCAGAGTGGATTTCTGAAGAGTCTCTTCTTCCTAGCTTGAAGAAGGCCACCTTCTTCCTGGGTCCTCCTACGGCCTTTCCTTTGTGCATGTGCAGAAGGAGACAGAGCATGCATGCACTTCCTTTGTGCCTTCTTCTCTTTTTATAAAGACACTAGTTCTACTAGATTATAGCCCCACCCTTATGGCCTCACTTAACCTTTATTACCTACTTTATAGCCCTATCTCCAAATACATAGTAGGATTTAGAGCTTCAACATAAGAATTTCAGGAGGACACTATTCAGTCCATAACATGGGGCAATTTGAAAGGGACAGAGGTATAAACTGAAGGAGCTTTCAGTGGCAAAGCTGGAATAAATTCAGCAACAAAATAAATAGAGTAGTAATAGATTATAACTCAAAGTGTAAAATAAACATCCATGAATTCATTCTGATAGAAATAAATGATTGAATAAATTAGTAAGTGGGGAAAAAGACAAATCTTTCATGCAGATGAATTCCAAATGATTTATGCATATATTCCACCCTCAAGGAGCAGGCGTATGACTCCCCACTCCTTAGATGTGGGCTGTGCATAGCAACTTCCTTCCAAAATGTACAACGTGCATAGGGAGGAAAAAAGAGCAACTTTCCAGTGGAGAAACTAACAAACACCACCTCGGCCAGGGGATCAAGGTCAACTTCAATGGTGATATATCTTGTTGACAGTGTGTACCCTTAATAAGATGTGATAAAAATATCACTTTACCTCTGTGGTCTCCCTCACAACACATAACCCTTGTCTTATCATGCGAAAAGCATCAGACAAGTTCCAATAGTGTGGCATCCTACAAAATATCTAACCAGTATTCCTCAAAACTGTCAAGTCATCAAAAAAACAAGGAAAATCTGAAAAACTGCCACAGCCAAGAGGAACCTAAGGAAACTTGACAGCTAGACATAATCTCTTGGATAAGATTGTAATGGATTGAATTGTGTCTCCTTTCAAAAGAAAGGGATGAAATCCTAACCCCAGGAATTTGAGAATATGACCTTATTTGGAAATAAGATATAACTTGCAGTATAATTAGTTAAGGTAAGATGAGGCCAAACTGGAGTAGGGTGGGGCCCTAATCCAGTGTGACTGCTGCCCTATGAGAAGATGGTCAAGTTCAGATACATGAGAATGCCATTTGACAATGAAGGCCAGGCTCAGAGTTTGCAGCTGCAAGCTGATGAGCACCAAGTTTGCCAGCAAACCACCAGATGCTAGGAAGGGGAGAAGAGGGAGTCCCCTGAATGTTTCTGAGGGGGCATGGGCTTACTGACACCTTGATTTCAGGCTTTTGGCCTATGTAAAGGTAAGACAATAGATTCCTGTTGTTTTTAAGCCACCCAGTTTGATGAATTTTTTTAATTGTAGCCATATGAAACTAATACAAGATCCTGGAACAGAAAAAACGGCCTAGGTAAAAAATTGAAAAATCTGAATGAACTGTGAAATATAGTAAATAATAAAGCACCTGTATTAGTTCATTAATTATAACAAATGTACCATAAGGTAATGTAACATGTCAGTAGTAGAAAAACTTGGTATGGGATATCTAGAAACTCTGTACTATCCTCTCAATCTTTTAACAACTGTTTTGGAGCAGGCTTGGTGCCTATAGCTCAGTGAGTAGGGTGCCAGCCACATACATGAAGCTGGCAGGTTCAAGCCTGGCCCAGGACTGCTAAACAACAATGACAATTGCAACCAAAAAAAATCCAGGTGTTATGGCGGGTGCCTTTAGTCCCAGTTACTTGGGGGGCTGAAGCAAGAGAATTGCTTAAGCCCAAGAGTTTGAGGTTGCTGTGAGCTGTGATACTGTGGCACTCCACTGAGTGCAACATAGTGAGACTCTGTCAAGAAAAGAAAAAAAGAACTGTTTTGGAGCAAAGTAAAACTGCTTTAAGAATTGGCCAGATGCAGTGGCTCACATTTTGGGAGGCCAAGGTAAGAGGATTGCTTGAGCCCAGAAATTTAAGGTTAGCCTGGGCAATAGCTCCGTGAGGCCACACTTCTACAAAAAAGTGGAAAACTAAAATTAGCGAGGCAGGGTGGTGGGTGTCTGTAGTCCCAGCTACTCAGGAGGCTGAGACAAGAAGAATGCTTGAGCCAGGAGTTGGAAGTTACAGTGAGCTATGATCACGTCACCATACTCTAGCCTGAGCAACAGAGTGAGACCCTGTCTCTAAAAATAAATAAAGAAGAAGAATTTTTTTTCTTGATAATCTGCCTTTTTATTTAATGGGTCATGGGAATTTTCTTTTTTATTTTATTGTTGGGGATTCATTGAGGGTACAAGAAACCAGGTTACACTGATTACATTTGTTAGGTAAAGTCCCTCTTACAATCATGCCTTGCCCCTAAAAGGTGTGGCACACACCAAGACCCCACCCTCCTCCCTCCCTCTCTCTGCTTTTCCTTTCCCCCACCCCTTCCTCCTTTCTCTCTCTACTCTCCCCTTCCCCCACCCCCATTGTGTCATTAATTGTCCTCATATTAAAATTGAGTACACAGGATTCATAATTCTCCATTCTTGTGATGCTTTACTAAGAATAATATATTCCATTTCCATACAGGTTAATACAAAGGCTGTAAAGTCTCCATTTTTAAAATGGCTGAATAGTATTCCATGGTGTTCATATACCACAGCTTGTTAATCCATTCCTGGGTTGGTGGGCATTTAGGCTATTTCCACATTTTGGTGATTGTAAATTGAGCTGCAGTAAACAGTCTAGTGCAAATGTCCTTATGATAAAAGGATTTTTTTCCTTCTGGGTAGATGCGCAGCAATGGGATTGCAGGATCAAATGGGAGGTCTAGCTTGAGTTCTTTGAGGTTTCTCCATACTTCCTTCAAAAAGGTTGTATTTTTTTCTGGTTCCATACAAAATGCAGAATCATTTTTTCCAAGTCTTGAAAATAGGATATTAGTATTTTAACAGGGATGGCATTGAATTGGTAGATTGCTTTGGGAAGTATAGACATTTTAACAATGTTGATTCTTCCCAGCCATGAGCATGGTTTGTTCTTCCATTTGTTAATATCCTCTGCTATTTCCTTTCTTAGGGTTTCATGATTTTCTTTGTAGAGTTCCTTCACCTCTATTGTTAGGTATATTCCTAGGTATTTCATTTTCTGAAGCTATGGTGAAGGAATTTGGGTCCTTAATGAGGCTCTCATCTTGACTATTATTGGTGTATATAAAGGCTACTGACTTGTGGACATTACTGTATTTTTTGATGACTTCCAAGAGTCTTGTGGTTGAGTCTTTGGAGTTCTCTAAGTATCAGATCATATCTTCAGCAAAGAGGGAGAGTTTTACCTCCTCTGCTCCCATTTGGATGCCCTTTATTTCCTTGTGTTGCCTAATTGTATGGGCTAGAACTTCCACCACTATGTTGAATAGTAATGGTGACAGAGGACAACCTTGTCTGGTTCCAGTTCTAAGAGGAAAAGCTTTCAGTTTTACTCCATTCAGTAAAATATTTGCTGTGGGTTTGTCATAGATGGCTTCAATCAGTTTCAGAAATATGCCACCTATGCCTATACTCTTCAGTGATTGAATTAGAAAAGGATGCTGGGATTTATTGAATGCTTTTTCTGCATCTATTGAGAGGATCATATGGTCTTTGTTTTTGCTTCTGTTTATACGGTGGATAATGTTTATGGACTTGCATATGTTAAACCAGCCTTGCATCCCTGGGATGAAACTTACTTGATAACGATGTCTGACTTTTTTGATGATAAGCTGTAATCTATTGGCTAGGATTTTGTTGAGAATTTTTGCATCTATATTCATTAGTGAAATTGGTCTGAAATTCTCCTTTCTAGTTGGGTCTTTTCCTGTCAGGGTGATGTTTACTTCATAGAACATGTTGGGGAAGATTCCTTCCTCCTCAGTTTTTTGGAATAATTTAGGCAGTACAGGAATAAGCTCTTCCTTGAAGGTTTGATAGAATTTCAGTGTGAGGACATCCAGACCAGGACATTTTTTTGTTGGAAGATGTTTTATTGTTTCTTTAATCTCAGTGCTTGAAATTGGCCTGTTCAGGAGCTCTATTTCTTCCTGGCTAAGTCTAGGGAGAGGGTGTGATTCCAAATATTTATCCATTTCCTTCACATTGCCAAATTTCTGAACATGGAGTTTCTGGTAGTATTCAGAGGTGATCTCTTGTATCTCTGTGGCATCCGTTGTTATTTCCCCTTTATCATTTCTTGTTGAGGTTACTAGAGATTTTACTTTTCTAGTTCTAGTTAGTCTGGCCAATGGATTGTCTATTTTATTTATTTTTTCAAAAAACTAACTCTTTGTTTCATTAATTTTCTGAATGATTCTTTTGTTTTCAATTTCATTGATCTCCAATTTAATTTTGGGTATTTCTTTTCTTCTGCTGGGTTTAGGCTTAGATTGTTCTTCTTTTTCCAATTCCATAAGATGGCTTACGAGTTTGTTGATGCGCTCTCTTTCTGTTTTTCGAATGTAGAGATCTAAAGTGATAAATTTTCCTCTCAGAACTACTTTTGCAGTATCCCACAGGTTTTGGTAGCTTGTGTCTTCATTGTTGTTGTGCTCAAGGAAGTTAATGATTTCCACTTTTATTTCTTCCTGCACCCAACTGTCATTCAACAGAAGGTTGTTTAATTTCCATAACTTTGTGTGGGGCTGAACGTTTTTGTTGGAGTTAAGTTCCACCTTTAGTGCCTTGTGGTCTAAGAAGATACAAGGTAAAATTTCAGTTCTTTTGAGGGTTTTTGTGTGTGTGTGTCCTAGGATATGATCACTTTTGGAGAATGTTCCATGGGGTGATGAGAAGAATGTATATTCTCAATCTTTGG